TATGCTGCTAGGTTATTTCTTTGTATCTCTTTGATTACCTGATATGAGCCATTTCTAATGTCATATCATGCAGAGTCGAGCAGAAATACAGTATCACTAAAGTGCTTAAAATTGGCTCTCCCAGATCAAACACTTGCATTATTAAAATGAGTATTGTCTTCACTTTCTTGAAAAGATTTCATTTTTTCTTTTATAAGTTGAGACATAATTTTTACATATTTGGGGGATACAGTATAATATATATGTAAAATATATAATTATTGAAAAGGCATTTAGCATTTCCATTTCCTCAAACCTTTATCATTTATATATGTTTGGAACCTTTGGACTATTCTGGTTATTTTTAAATATAGCATAAATTATTGTAGACTGTAGTTACTCTACTGGGCCGTAGAACACCAGAACTGTAGCATTCCCTGTCTACCCTCTCCATTCCATCCCCTTCTATTTCCCATGTTTTGTGATTATTTTCCACTCTCTTTTTTTTCGGTACCTGGGATCGAACTTGGGACCTTGCACTTGCAACCCATATTATGTATTTCTTGCAGTTAAATCTCATGCACTCTTTATATATGGTATATATTAATCTCTTGTAAGACAAATTGTTTACAGGTATTTTCTCTTATTCCAAGGATTGTCCCTTCACTGTTGATTGTTTCTTTTGCTGTATCAAAGCATCTTAGTTTGATATAATCACATCTATCTATACTTTTTGGTGCCTGTTCATTTAAGGCCTTTTTCCCCCCCACAAAAAAATCTTTGCTTGTACCAATGTCTTACAATATTTCCCCTAGATAATCTTCTAATAGCTTCAGGATTTCAGGTCTTGCATTTAGGTTCTGATCCATTTTGTATTAATTTTTTGTCATTATTTAGAGAATACGTTATTATCTTCTGTATTGATTTTTTTAATGTGGTGAGAGATACATACTTTCATTCTTTTGCATGTGTATGTAGTTTCCCAGTGCCATTTATTGAAGAAATTCTCCTTTATTCTTGGAGCATTTTTAGAAAACTCAGTTGGCTATATGTACGAGGAAGTCAGGTAGCAATGCTGACGTATCCCCTGGAGGCAACATGTGCAATTCTGGGTGCACAGGCTATGGAGGGGTTCATCCATAGGCACAGTAAAGATGAGTGTTGGAGACAGTGGTGGTGATTGCCATATTCTGGAATGAATATGACTTCAGGAGCTCTGTGTAAATGACTTCCTTCTCTAGAAAAAAGCAGTCACGTAGATTTCAAGCATTCCAACAACTGACTTTAAAATATGTAAAAACTGTGGAATTCTCTTGTACTTAGGACTGCTACTCAACAGCAGTATTGGAGACAGGGTGTTGGCTAAGGCATTCCAGCTTACGTTTCCCTGGCAGTACAGCATACTTCTCCAGCCAGGGAGCTGGTCTCATAGCTGCAATGTGTTTTGTTTCTTTCTCTACGCTACCATCCTAAATCTCCATGCCTTTATGACTGTCACCATTTTCTTGTTAAATTCCTATGTTCTTTCTCAGTCACTCTCCTTGAAATGTAGTCATTCCTGTGTTGTCCTCATTCTCTGTGGTGGAGGGGAGCACAAAACACCTATATTCAACCGTCCTTCCTCTACCCTCTCTTAAGATTTTCTTGGTGGAAGATAGGAAAACATCTTGTATTATCAGGGATTTCTAAAGTATATAAATAACATACACCTCTGACATATATCATAAAATGCATAAATTAAATTATATATATTTCTCCCACATGCTCAGTATGATTTTTTATCCTTAGGAATGATGCTATAATAGCACGAAAGTAAAAAAAAGAAGTAAATGTAATTCTAGTTAAATTGTGTAGTTGTAGAGGAATAAATAAAACAGAAAGGTATCAGCTCACTTATTTTGAGTTTGCAATGTTTTATCAAATTTTTAATATATACAGTCATCTTCATTCTGTGTATCAATTCAGTTAGAAGATAAGACAACTGATGTGATTTTGCTCAGCTTCCTGCTAAATATAAATGGAGATGTTAACACTGAAAGTACTCACTAAAAACCTGTTTTCAAGAACCTATAAGCACTTTTTATACTGATGATTAGTACTCAAACGAGAAAAGTAAAATAAAGTCTTACAGTACTTTTAATCTTGGATAGGTCTTGAATCGACAAAAAGTGGCAAATATCACTAAATAAATGATTTAATGTGATCCTATTAAAAATATCCTTTGTCCCCCACCTCCATCTGCTCCTAGATCCAACTGTTCATTTCAAATTTTAAAAAATTGGTAAATTACTATAAAAGGAAGCAGTTAGTCCTATTTAAATTAAGGAAACTATTAATGAGCAATGTGGTATTTACAAATGAAAGATTAACCCTCCAAAAAAACCAAAGAAAAGAAAAAATACCACATAGGAAATCCAGAAAGAAACCAAAATACAGATAGAAGTGCCTTGAAGTGATGATTTTTAAAATAATTAAAGATTTTGATAACCATAGCAATATAAAAACAACATTGAATAATTGTTTCATTTTATACATAAAGGCAAATTACAAATGGATCAAATATAACTTTAGACAATCATAAAAGTATTGGAAGAAAACTTGACAAATTTGAAGATTCTTAATAGGATATAAGGACAGCCTTCTTGTCCATAATGAAATTGTTGCAAAAGACAATGGTACAACAAGAGGATAAGTGAAGTTCATTTGTGATAGACAAAATCAACTTGATAAATTCTGAAGATTCTTTTTAATGTTAAATTTCAGTGATGTTTTTGAAAATTGATAGCATGACGGCGGTTCTTACTGTTTATACTATAATAACCCAAGAATCTTATGGTGAATTCAATTTTCAACTACTGTTCTAGTTATAGGCTTGGTTACAACTGCAAATATGCTACTACATTTTTAATTAAATTGACTGATTTGTCATGGCATTATCTTTTCATAGTTTCAATTTAAATGTTATAAAAATCATGATAGTATAAGTTATGAATAATTGTCCTTTATCTTTACTCCTTACACAATGTAAAAGTCAAAGTTTATAGGTGTAACATAATATGTTTTAGTGCTAATATAATCTTTGTATGGGTAAATAATAACTCTTAAATTTGATTTCCTTGGCTTATATGATTCAGCTCTTGCTGTTTTATCTGAACACATTCTAAGAATAAGTTAATGTGTTACTACATTTTAATTAACAAAACACTGAAATTTCCATAACCTATAGTCTTGATAAGATTGAAGTTAAAATCATTGAAGTATACATTCATCTAGCTTACTGTTTTATTAGCTGGAAGAAAGTTTATAGATTTAAAATGGCAGAAACATTCTTTTACATACCAAGAACAGATGAGATTCACAATAAAAATACTAAAAATAAAAGAGTAGGTCCAGAAATCAGACGTATGTTACAAATTTTTGCCAGCTCCTCTGTGTATGTAAATTGTGATATATTCCTATTATATAATATTTATATTAGGAAATATATTCATTCTAAGTAATTACTTAACACACTAATAATCTATTAAAATATAGAGCTCATGAAAACAAAGTTGTAGTTAATAAACATTATTTAGATATATCTTTATAAAAAATCTGGGTAAATTGTTACCCAAATTATCTCAGTTTCTCTGCCTCTAAAATAAGAAACATAGTGGCCTTTAATTTTCTGAGAATTTAATAAAATTGCATAAATAATACTTAGCATAGAACCTGGAATATAGTCAATATACAATAAATATTGACTATTAACAGCATTAATCATTAGATGATATTAGCTATGATATTAATCCTAAAATATATTATATTTCTTCTGTGAAGGAAATTAAAAATCTGTAAGAATTTGATGTGACATTTTGCAATGGAATCATTTTCAATTTTCATTCTTAATATTCTTAATAGTTTAGTTTTTATATATGAGTCAAAATGACTTTATCTTCAGTTTTACAATTTTTTTTTAAAAAATAAGTGTAGTTGATGATCCCTTGTTATGTTTTAAAGAAGGAGTGTTATTCTTCAAAATAAAGATAGACACTCGTCATATGGACACCCTCACTGTTAAAGATCGCCTGAATCTCACCACTTCCAATCTTTCCAAACTTGTCCAAAGGTAGCATTTTTCCCTTTGTTATAAAACTATGGTCTTATGATCTTCTGCTTCTGGATTCCATAGGTGATGTTTAAGCATACAGCTTCCTGAGCCCCAATATGACCAAATATATTAGAATTTCTGGAGTTGGGGCTCAACTGGTACCATGTTTAAAATACTTGTATATGGCTCTTAGCCATATTAATGTTTGAAAAATTCTAATCTATCGAAACACAAGAAAATTCTTTAAGTTTTTTTTTTCCTTCTGGTTTTCATGACTATTCCCAGATGCCACTTTTCCTTTTACAAATGACCTATTTTTCCTCATAGATCAGTTAAATAAATGTACAGGTTTTACTGACAGCAATATTGGGGCTCAAATAAAAGATCTGGGCATGTTATAGTAGAGAAAAAAATCACAAGACATTAAGGGGACCGAAAATAAACTCTGGAATTGGGGAGGAGGTTCAGAGAAGGAGAGAAGGGAAAAGGTAGGTTGGGGAAGGGGAAATAAAAATGATCAAGACAGCATATTATATTATATGTACCAATTCTCCAAGATGAATGTAATTATTGTGTATCACAAATTACTGTGCTCCTCTGTAAAATATGATAAGACTTGCCTGAAAAGTCTAATGGGTTTTATGTTTCTTTTATCATTCTGGAAAACTCCAGGCACCACTTGGAATATTTCCTGTTAGTACTGTCTCTTCAGCAGAAACTTCTCCCCTCAGCATAAAGTGTTTTTGTTTTGTTTTGTTTTGTAATATCAATGCCATTTGAGGGAAAATAATGAAGTGCACTTGTATTTTAGCAGAATGTAGTGTTTTGTTCACAGGCAATTTTTTAAAAATTGATAGTAAAAGAACTGATTACTTTTTATTGTTTAAACAAGTGTTTACCACATTTAAAATTAATTTTGTGTGTGTTACAGGAATCGTGTTGCCTCCGGAAGGAAATGTAGATATCCTGGTGTTATTTAAACCCAAAAGTATGACATTGTGCAAAACATTGGTCATTGTTGAAGTGATAAGAGCAAATGGGGAAAATTGGACTATTGACAACTTTGATGAATTAGATGAAGACTTTAAAAGGTAAAGTTTAAAGACACTGAAAAGAAGTGTTTTTTGTTTGTTCAGGCTTCTTTTACATGTAACATATATAATATAAAGCTCATGATTTTCTGCTCTGAACTGCTGTCTTCATATGTTTAGAGGCAGAATGTTATATAAAGATTTATTTATATAAGTATTAATTTTAGATTCAGAGTAATGAACAAGATTAATCTTAGGTGTCATTATCACTTAATCAAAGTTATGTAAAGAAACTTTTTTTTTTGAGCAGTGTCTCATTATATAGTTCAGGTTGGCCTGAAACTCACTATGTCACTGTATAGCTCAGGCTGATCTCAAACTTGTTGCGATCCTCCTGCCTCAGTCTCCCAAGTGTGGGCATTACAGATAAAAGTCACCACACCTGGCAGGATATGCCTTTTGACAGATAAAATAATGAAAAATAAGAAAGTAAGTAATCAATATCCTAAACAAAACCAGAAGTTTTTTTGGAAAACATATAGGGCTTGTAATATCAGAATTCACTAAGTGATCACAGTGACATTTGGCCAATAGGATATGACATTTTGATGAAATATTGCCATGACCAGGGAATACTATGTCATTGCCAGAATGCAGGTAGGTTTTGCTTAGCTGAAATTTAGAGAAACTTTAACAACAACACAAAATTTACATGCTTATTCCTATCTTAATTAAATCTTAAAATAAATCTTAAATAATAAAGTAAAATTTTATTTTAATTTACATTTGCAGATTTATTACCTACATTTAATTTTTTCTATGTAGTATCCATTCTGCCAGGTATTTCTCCACTCTTAGCATGACTGGCTAAGTAATTTGTGGGACCTAGTAAAACATGGGACTAAAGATGCCCTTCCTAAACAGTTATCAATAATTTCAGGACAGTTGTTATAATGCATTAAACTAGCATGTAGCCCTTCTATGTGTGGGGTCTTACAGAGCTGCACAAGTCATGTGCATGGCTGGTCCTCACTACAGCATCTTATATTTCATTTTATCAAGAAAATTCCATCTTCAACAATGATCATTAGCATTTTCCAATATTGCTATCCTCCTGATGGTATATAATGAACCTAGAATAATTAGATACTGTCTTTATTTTGACAGGTTTGTCCCTAAATTCCTCATCAGTATCTGAGGCACCATACCTCATAAGATAGTTTGTTTTGTGCTTTGACTTTTCAATTTAAAATGCAATTCACAAGAAACACATTACCTCTCATTCCTCACAATTTCATAAGATCAATAAATCCAAGTTAACCCTTTAAAGTTAGAGAACAAAAGCACCTTCATTTTTGATTACATCTCATGATGCTTTTCTTTGTGAAAAATTTCCAGAATTTGCTTGGAAATTTTTATAAAATCAACATTTGCAACAAATATTTTCTTCTAATTCACAAACCTTACCAAGATACCAGTTAAGTTAATAAAGAATAAAATTTCCATGCTAATATTGAAAGAGTTTCTCCTTTTTGTTCACTCTTAATATTTTTATTTAGCATTATCGGTATAGACAAAGATGACATTCAAGAAATACACTGGATATATCCTATTATTGGACTCCCACAGGCACCGCTCCCTAAAACTCCTCCACGTAAGTATATTTTAGAGGGAAAAAAATCAATGAATCTGTGGAACTTTAGACATTCTGTAATTGTATTTCTTCTTTGTACTAATAATAAATTTGAGTTCAAAAGAAAATAAATAACAAAGAGATTAACCCTATTAGTAGGAGAGCTGGTACCTGAGCCTCTCCCTTAACAATGAGTCTGCTCACTGACTTTTGCAGAAAACTATTTACTTTTGCCATCCTGTGGTGAAACACAGATATCAACTCAAATTAAAATGAAATTACTTCATACCCATTTATTCTACAGAGCCAAGCACTAGATATGTAAGATTACCAAGTACTTTTGTTCCCGGGTCACTTTTAATCATCATATTTCAGTTCCTGTGTAACTCTCAATTTTGTCTAAGAACTATTCTGTGAGGATACTAACTCATTTTTTTGAGTTGTCTGAACAAACCTTTATGACATTTTCCAAAACCAGTCAGAATAAAATGAACTATTCAGTGAATAGTTTTCTATTTTCCAAATTTTACAAAACTATTTTCCAAAATGTACAAAACAAAATAATCCAACCTTGAATTTCTTTGTTTTCCACAATGACCCCTTTCTGTCTCTGCATGCGACAGGTTTTTGGTCAAATTTCTATGTGTTTGCTTTTCTCGATACTCTTTTCACTTTTATATAATTTGTTTTTTCTGTTTCCTTCCAAGGATCAGCCTAGAAATGAAATTCCACTTAGATAATTATATAGTCATATTTAACATCCCAAATATCTAGTCATAGTTCTTTACGAACGTGGACTGAATTGCTCTGCAAATCAAAGGGCTGTTTCAGATCTCTGCCTTGAGAAACACAGATGAGTTATTAAAACTTTTGAAATTGTGTTCTTTTTTTCTCCTTGCAATTCTAGTCACGGCATAGGAAAAGGATAAGAGTTCTATGCTAGGGATGTAGCTCAATGGTAGAATGCTTGCTAGCATGCTTGAGGACCTGGGTTTGATCCCACGCAACTATGCATATAAAGACATTATATGTCCATTGACATAAATTCTGTCACTATACTTAGAAAAAGGAGAAAGCAGTAAGTTTTGCTTGTAAATAAAACATTTCCCAAGATAAAATAGTTGTAAAAAAAAAGACCAAGATGACATATTTCTTTATGAGTTTTAATTTTAAGTGGAGTAAATTCCACACAGTAGTATCTTTTGGGGGGGTACTGGGGGTCGAACTCAGGTCCTCGTGCTTGGGAGGCAGGCAGCAAAGCCACTGAGCTAAATCCCCGACCCTACACAGTAGTACCTTTGAGACAAAATGTTATTTATTTTACCTGAAGTAATTTTACTCCTGAATTTTAAAATTATCAACAAATACATAAATTTTTCAAGTATACTAAATTATCCTCAGAATACTTCACAAACATATCACATTGTTTATTTCAGCCTAGAAAATAGTTGATTGCATATTTTTGTTAGAATTGAACTGTTTAAAATTCCTAATACACAAGCCAGATGATCAAAGTGATGCAATAAAACTTACACATCACCATTGGAATTCTTTTTTTTTTTTTTTTTTTTTTTTTTCTTGGTTTGGTGGAAAATAATTTAACAATAGGTAGTATTCAAAATTTGAAATCACATTTGCTAAGGCTCAAACACCCGAGAAAAGAAAAGGTGTATAATCAAGTCAAGCTATAAAACTTCCATCCCCATTGGAATTTTTTTTTTTTTTTTTTTTTTTGTACCGGGATACCAGGGATCAAACTCTCGTCCTTGCGCTTGCGAGGCAGGGGGCAGAACTACTGAGCTAAATTCCTGGCCCACCATTGGTATTCTAATGGTAGTTTCGTTTGTACATAGACACAATATTTTTTTTGCCATATTAATGACTTAAAGTAGAATTTCTCAGACTAAAAAAGGACTGCGAGAATATAAAAATGAATTTCTCACATATTTTTCCTTAAAGAAATTTAAACATGCTCCAGAGCATTTCCTTTGAGTCACTTTTCTGGAAAATTACTTGGTTTTTAAATTAGATGCAAATTCTTTAAATAACTGTGTTAGTAGTACAACCTAGTAGCAATATCGTTTCTGAAATAATTTGCGCATTTGTTATTAAACCATTTTACCCAAAATGTAAAATCTGTTGGAAGTCACTTTACAGATGCCTCTTACAGACAAGTGGGTAAACTTTTTATGTACATATTAGTTGTTTTCTGTACAGTTCATTTTTCTTTATGTAGTAGCTCATTAGAAAAACCTATTTTTACTGTTAAAATTTATCACTGACAGTCTTTTATTTCTTTTAATTTTGTGTATCTGTCACTGACATTATTTGCAAACCCAGGATCTTTTGTTGTTGTTCATTGTTTTTGTCCTGGGAGTCACCTTTTCTTTTTGTGCATTTCTATTTACTACTGTCCATTGGGGGCAAATAATTGGAAAAAGACTGTACTCCTTATCACACTTCGAAGACAACGAAAAGTAAATTTGTTGCAATTTAGAGAGCATTACATTGCCAGGGCACTAATTTCCTAAGGACTTTTATATAAAACAGGACCAGTGACAAGATACCAATTTTACTTTTGATTGTACTAATTTCTAACTTAATGCTTTGAGACAGAGAATTTAATTATTACCAGAAATCTTGTACATATTCCCCAAGCATTTCAACTCATATCTAAATGTGTACCTTTGTTGTACATTCCTCATAATTATTCTTGGTCTGGAATATTTATTAAAAATCTGTATAACTTAAAATAAAAATTAATTTATTATATTTTTAATCTGACTGTTACAAGTTTTGTAAAAACACACATCTAAGGAATCAACTAATTTGGTAATTTATGTGATTATATTGTTATTATTAATATCAAAAATAGTATAATACATTTAAAGTCTTATATGGATTCCCTTTTTTTTGCATTCAGTTTATATTCTATCTTTATTTGACTTGATAAAAGTAACAATAGATTTGCGAGAGATAATATTCTGGTTTGCATGGACTCCAGTATATGTGGCCATATAATATTATACAACTAGTGACAATTAATGTATTAACACTTCTTTAATTAGTAATTGTACATATAAAGTAATATTTTGAATTCTAATAAGATCATGCAGAACTTCTGCACTTTATATATGAAAACACTAGCATTTAGTATATATATTCATGTATCAATATTTAATGGTATACATTAATATGAAATCATATTTTAACTTTGAAATCATTACAGTTTTTGAGGGGGTACTGGGGATTGATCTCAGGACTTTACATTTGCCAGGCAGGCGCTGTGCCACTGAGGTAAATCCTCAGCCCTTACAATTTTGTTTTTGACTGCTGAAAGGGTGCAAAGGTACATTTTGTATATTTAAAATAACTTAAAATGAAAATTTAAATATTTTACTTGAATAATTTAAATGTAAATTATAAGATGCATGTAATTAATAAAATATTTATATATGTTTACAAAACAAGTGTTACTGAATTTATTTTTAAATTATTTGAAAACAATTGTTATAATATTATTAAAAAAGTAAAGCTTGATATTGCCATTTTTAACCTACAGACTAAAAATACATAGATCCGCATGTTCACAATTGTAACTTGAATTATTGATATAGCTGTATCAATTCCTAAAACCAGTTTCTACATCCTAAGATTGTCTTTTATGATGTATTAAAAATATTACAGATATCTTTTGGCATATTGTGTTGACATGTTCTTTAATACTCACATATTTGACAAGATATGAATGTATATAGATATTGCATAAATGTGCATACATGTGCCTGTGTACATGTGTGTTAAAGTCGTATGCAAAGGAAGTTTTATTTTTTAATGACATAGTTCAATTTCTTTATTTCAAGAATGATGATATAATCTAATAGTTAAACTGACAGAAAATATTTCTCTCCTGTAGCTGTCGTAAAATGTAAGTCTAAGAAGAAGATAGAAATGACGTTGGAAATCACACTGATTGGTAATTTTTTTGGACAAGATCCTACACCAGAATCAACACAATTTTTAGTGATTCCAAAAAGAAATTCATATTGTAATGTTCATGAAGATTACACTGGTAAGAGAACTAAAATCATGGATATCAAAATAATGATAATAAAACTGAATTATCTTGAATTGCAGTTGATGTTAGCTCAATTACAAAGATCCATGCCTGTTCACCTCTCATTGCCAATAATATATTCCCGTTAGTACATGAGGAGGGTTCTGTTATATTAGTTTTCTTTGCATATTTGTTACCTCAAAGATGACAATAGTGAGGTTATTACTGGATTAATAAGATATGGATTGTGAGTCTGTGAGCAACAAGAAAAGAAAAATCTGTAGTATCTGTAATTTTCACTTCTCAACTTTAATGGCTCCTTTTACTCTTTTCTTATTTAAGATATCTGATTGAAATCATGACTTACAGCTTTAAATTTAGAGGCAAAATCTTATATGAATGTTCTTATTTATAGAAATAGAAAATTTGATTTAAGTTAGATATAATACCCAAATAATTTTTGTCATTGTGGGGAAATCGATTGGATACATTTACCTTTATTATAAATTTTTATATAAAAATTTTCCATTTAATGTTTTAGAAATCTAAATAATTTAAAATATATTACAAGTAGATCATCCCTGATCTGAAAATCCAAAATCCCCAAATGCTCCAAAGTCTGATTTTTTTTAAAGCATCAATATGATACCACAAATTGGATATTCTATACCTAACTTCACGTGACAGGTCTCAGTCAAAACACAAGTGCACTAAAAATATTATATAAAATTATTTTTAGACTGTGTACAAGGTGTATATGAAACATAAATGAACTTTGTGTTGAAAATTAGGTTCTCTTTGTCTGTCTGTCTCTGTCTCTGTCTCTCTCTCTCCCTCCCTGTCTCCCTCCCTCTCCGTCTCCTCTCTTCTTCCCTCCCCCACTCAAAAATCTGAGAAAATTCTGGAATTGAAAACCCTTTTAGTTCCAAATATTCTGGATAACAAATATTCAACCTGTTCCTAATTCTCTAAATATGTGATATATCTGTTGAAACAAATAATACGGAACAAAGTGATGTCAGAAACATGATTAGTTAGGGAGACTTGAACCCTTCTCTCTACAAACACCAGTTCAGTAATAATTCACAGACAAATTCCTTAGGTGAGATTATAGAATCTAATGCAGTTTAATTCCTTGTGCCTTAGGAGATGTATAACCATATTCACAAAACCTATAGGGAGATTTGAAATATTTACTTGCCAGAGATCCTTTCCATGGCACCAGATTTCAAGACATTTGTCTCAGTGGTGATTTTATGGATAGTACACCAAAAGCACAGACAATAATAATGAACATAAATAAGTGGGACTAAGTCAAACTGGAAATCTCCCTCACAGCGAGAGAAGTAATCAATAGGGTGTAGCCCATAAAATGGATGAAATATCTGTAAACCATGTATCTCATAAGGGATTGAGCTCCCAAATACATAAGGAAATCCTACAACTCAATAATTAAAAAGCTTAATTACTTGATTTTAAAATAGATTGAAGTACTTAAACACTTTCCAAAGAAGACATACAAACAGCCAATCTCTCTATTAAAAAAACTTACTCCGCATTACTAATCACCAGGGAATACTAGTCAGAACACAATGACATACCATCTCACACTTATCAGCATGGCTATTGTTTTTAGAAGACCCCCCCCAAAAAAAAAACAGAAAACAAGCATTGGCGAGGATGTGGGCAAATTTTGAAATTCTCACACTGTTGGTAAGAATTCAAAATGATTCCGCTTCTATAAATAATATTATGGAAGCTCCTACATTGATTGAAAACAGAACTGTGGTATGATCAAGCAATTCTGCATCTGTATACTTATTCAAACTAACTGAAACGAAATTTTCAGAGATTTCTCAATTCCCATGTTTACTTCTACATTATTCACAAGAGCTAAGATAAACACACAAACCAATCTACTGAGAGATGAAGGGATAAATAAAATGAGGTATAAACATACAATGGAATACTATTTAGCCTTTAAAAGGAAATTATATAATATGCAACAACTTGGAGTACATTTTCTTAGTGAACTAATCTCGACATAGAAAGACATAATACTACATATACGATAACTTTTAAATAGTCAAATGCATAGAAACCAGAGTGGAACAGTAGTTGGGAAGAGGAAATAGAAAGTCATTGTCAAATGGGTATAAAATTTCAGTTCTGCAAAATGATTAAATTCTAAGAATTGTTGTGCAACAAGTATCTGTAATTACCAATATTATGTTGGGCACTCAAAAATTTATGAATAGGTTTAAATTTCATGTTTCAGGAAGGTAAAGTTATACTTCTGCTTAGGAACCTATGTCTCTATACTTTAAATTATATTGCTGTCATGATGTACATGACATAAATTATAATTATGATAATATAAACTAATTAAAATGTATTACTTAGAAAAATCCCTACTTTCTCTTAGATAATCAGAGTCTGAAAAGCAGCTGCCAATATCATTTTTGGGAACTTTGGACATCATATTAAGAAAACAATGTATCTCACATAGCCCTTGAAAGCACATATTCTGACATGGCTCTTGTTTTACTGCTTCATTACTTTTCATGATTAAAAGGAATAATTAATATTGAAATATATGGAAGATTTGCAGGCTTATCACTATTCATTATTCTATCTAAAACATCTTTTTTTATTGTGCTGAATCCCATCAAATTTAACAAGCTTATCTACTTTTGTCTACATTTTAATATGTGAATCTTCTTTTCATTCTCCTGAACAAATTATGCTCTGCTGAACAGATGTGAAATTGATCAATACTCTCTCATGTTAAATATTTTCTCTCTTTATGGTATGTCAGTATTTGATAAAGCTAGTTGACCCTTATCCTTTTTTAAAGACATATAACAATTACTGTTTCTTTTGTTACCCTTATGCTACTGCAATCAAGTTGCCCACAATCTTTATAAATCTTTCATAATCCTATATTCCCATATATTTATTTTTTTATTTGTTCATGTTTGAAGTACAGAATGATTACATTTATTGAGGGAAGTTGGTACATAAGCATAACATATCTTAATTCTTTTTATGTTCCCTTCCACACACTCTTTCATTTCTTGGTCCCCTTATGATTTGCAAAAGATTTAGCTCCCTGTTTCCTATTATTTATCTTTTATTTTACTCTTTATTACCTATTTACTTATGAAGAATCAAATCTGATTGGAAAGTCTGAAGACTATTTTAGTTCTTTAGTATATGCAAAATCAAATACTCTTCTTTCTCACATTTAATTTTAGTTTTCACAGCATATTAATGTCCAAAAGAGTTATGTTGTCCATGCCATTCTTTATTGTTGTCTATTATAAACTTTCTCTTGAAATTTAAAGCACTGAAGCCTGTGTCTTGGACTCTAGTAGGGTTTTTGGAGTGAAAGCCAATCACATCCTTTCTTCCCTCTTCTGAGTTTGTAAAAAACTGAGAAACAGATGCAGAATAAAGCCAGATGGAGATCAAAGTGTTAGTTTTATTAATTATGAAGATTAATCGGAAAGTGACTTGGCTGTATGGACTCATTTGGGTTTATTAGTTTCTTGATAATAATTGAGAACATTATTGGCCAACTGGCTAATTGTAGACTCCCCACAGGGATGAAAAATCTACACATAAGGACAGGGCAGAACACATGAACCCTGGTTTTCTGGACATTGCATTTAGCACATTAAATATGGCACCCTGTGATCCAATTACTGTCCAAACACATGAGGCTTTGGGGCAACATTTTTATGTAAAATATGACTATCCTCTTCTGGCCCCAAAATTGACCTTCCATCCTTTGACCATTTGCTCTGCTCCTCTTCATTTTGTATTCTCAGATCAACTCACGCTATCAAGGCTCTGTCTTACCCACTCTGGTGAGATCGCCCTTGAGAAAACTGTCATCCTTGGCAATATGAAAGTTCAATGGTCAGATTTGTGTTATGAGGTTACTTCACTTCTCAGGAACACTTACCATTTGACCAAGTTGATGGAATTTGTGCTTTTAAACTTTTCATGACTAATCTTTAATTTGTTAGCACGCTAGACCTCCATTCTCTATCTCTGCTGTCTTTCCCCTTCCTCTGACCAGAATCTTAATATCTGAGTGTCTTTGTGTTCTGCCACGAGGGACACTGCATTCCTGTAAGCAAGGATTCCTGGAACATTTCAGACAGTGATACTAATGGTGCTTCTTCAGCATTTGTGCCATAGGACAAGTCTGCTATTCAAAGTTGTGAAGTTCAAAGTCAGACTGCTTGATTTCTTCCATTTAGTAGTCTTGAGAAAAGTATTTTATCTCACTGTAAAATCAATTTCTTTAGTTGTGATATGGAGATAATACACTTTTATAGGATATTTTTTAAGATTCAGCATGAAAATGCCTATGGAATACTTTAAAATGCCCTGGATCTTAATGTGTTTCCCATTAAGTTTAAGATATTGTACAATTATTATTTAAAGCTATATTTGGGTGTTATGTATAGTGATATAATGTAAGGCTCATCATGTGTCACTGAAAAGTGACATTTTGAAGGGCAAATATGCAGGTAATTCTCTCAATTGCATTCAGTAAGTTTTCTTAGGATTACACAAAAGAATCATCTGTGAAAAAAGTGCAATGTTAATAGGAAGCAAATGTTGAATGAATGCTATTACTAATTCACTCTCCTTAGTTTAAGTCACAAATCCTCCTCATATCCTGCATGGCCTCTTTCCTCCTTTGCTGACTTAATTTTTTACAAGCTCCTCCCCTTCCCTCTACTCTGTCCACATAATTTTTCTTTTTTACATTTTTACTTTATTTTACTACAAAATGAGAGATGGAGACCTAAAATTATTATTCTGCATATTTTTAATGTGTTGATTTGTTTATTTATTTATTTTTCTCTTACAAGTCCTTTGGTACATTTTAGGTATACAGTACAGTTACATTCATTATTGGGATCCTGTACCTTTACATGACAAGCTCCTCCCTCCCTCTACTCTGTCCACATAATTTTTCTTTTTTACATTTTTAC